AATTCTTAGTTTTGTGGTTCACAAAACTGACGGCTTGGATATGGCCACAGTTCTTCAAACTCAGACATAAACACGTGTGAAATTATGAGATAGCAGTAATCTATTCTTGGGGTGCAAAGAGGCTGCCCGATTAATCTGAAATGATGTTTTTTAATTCCACCAAGAGCTTCCAATTTTTAAAATAATTGCGTTTAATTAATGTATTAAATGCTTTATTGGCCCTTTATTTGGCCACGAAAACCAATAGCTGTTGTTAAAAGTAAAATGTTTCCTCACTTTTAAAACTAATTGTTTAGCCACTATAAACAGTTTGGTATTTTTCCTTCTACTATTGATTGATCTTACATATATTTCATGTCATGAGGAACATCTTAGTAATAGCCAGGGCTTTGCCAGAGGGGAGATTTGGTTTTAAATCCTGAGTCTGCTATAGAAGAACTCTGACCTTCAGGTAACACTTTACCTATAACTGCCCATTTATAAAATAGTTATAATGGGAGCTGAAGATATGGTTCAGCTGTTACAGGCACTTACCACAGAGTTCAGTTCCCAGGACCCACACCAGATGGCTCATAACTACCTATATCTCCACTTCCAGTGGGTCCCACAGCCTGTCCTTGTTTCAACAGGTACCTGCATGCACAGTGCACATAGACTTACACAGACACACACACACACACACACACACACACACACACACAGACACACACAGACACACACACAAATAAATAGTAAATAAAATGAATCCTTAGAATAATTATAATTCAGGGCTGTTTTGTGAAATTAGAGTATATGGCACTCTTATTTGTATAAACCATAACTATAGATTATCCAGCATTTGCTTAGCATCCAGCACTTGTCTAGTGTGTGCACTGAAAATATCAGTAAATATAAAACTAAAAAAAAAATCAGTAAACAGAGATTGTACTGAGCTCTACTTTGCTTTTTCAATTAACATTACACTCTATCTTCTTAAATAATTCAGTACTCTTCATTTGATGATTCTGTAGCATTTCACTTAATAAGTATCTCATAATGAACAAACCTTTCCCTCTCAGACTTGAGCTGTTTCCTTTGTCTTGTCGCATTTACCGTTTTGGTAAATAGTTCACCGCCAACATGGCCATCCTTAACTAGATATTCTAGACGTGGAATTTCCGTATTAAAACCCAATGACATGACTAGTGCAAGAACTGGATATTTTTATGTACTTTTGGGTCTTTCGTACTTCTTGTGAAAATTGATTCTATGGTTTCTTTCATGGTCAAGTACACCAGTTTCCCCTTAGTTTTTAAATAGAGTGATATCATAAGGAAGCCCATATTTGTTGAGTAGCAGCTGGGTGAAAGCACATATCAGGCTTCGCTTGGAAGAACAGAGCAATCTTGGGAGCCCAGTTTCAAGAGGTGGCCTGCAGGGACTAGGTCCTTAAGCTCTAAGCTCTTTAACCTCTCAAGGCCCAGTTTCTTTATCTGAGCCCCACATCAGCTTTGGAGCCAGAACAGAGTGCATGAGGCTTGGCTTACAGTAAGTGGCCAATGAATTCAATTTTGTTTTTCACCATCCTCCTAGCATGCCACCCTTAGAGGGGTGGGCAAAGATAGATGTGGGCATGTGTGTGCATTAAAAGAGACATCTGGGTTTCTAGGAAATGAAACTCAAAACAGTTGCTTCCTTTGTAGTAGTGTGGTCCCATGGGTAATGCTTCATTAGACCTTAGAAGTTGAGCTAGGGGCCAATGTGATGATCTGGAAATCACAGTGCGCTGCTAATGAACACTCCTTTATAAAGTCTGGCGTGGGTGAAAGACTCATTTCAGAAGAAGCTTTTTCCTGATTTGCTTTTGGCCTACCTCATTACCACTTGCAATGGTTTTGAGCAAATGTATGGTTATTTGCATGCCCCTGTGGCTCTGTAAAATGACTATAAAGATATCATAACGCTCACATGGTTAAAGAGAGTGACTTCCAAAAGACTGAGGTGAAGTGGACAGAATCTCCCAGCAAGGCATTATCAGACTCTCTTTGACTGATTTTCAGCCAGGCTTCTCTAAGCCTCTGGGTATGTCTTTGTGGCCATCTTTGTTTTCCCTGACTGGAGTAGGGATCCTGCTAAGTCACTGCATTGAGATCCTACCCTGCTTTATGATTGCACCCTCACCACAACTTCCCTACGTCTTCCGTGCTCCAGCCCCCATCGTGTCTCGTGGCATCTCTCACTCTCCTCATTTCCCAGGAGACTGTGCACCATCCTGGCCTGCCTCCAACAAGAACTCTGTCAGGCCACTTTAGTTAGAACCCCCCCCCCCCCGCCACATGCCTGAAGTTTCCTCTTAGTAATTTTCCATCCACTGGCTGCCACCCACCCTAGGCTTTAAAGTCCCGCTTGTTCTGGCTGTGTACAGAACTGAGTCCAGGTGCATCCTGGGGCCCCTTCCCCTGGTCTGCTAATCCTGATAATCCCATTTCATCTAATCACAAACTCTCGGCATATTTCATAGCAATGGAGCATGGATGGGGGCCCCAAAATCCTAGTTATATGTGTCTCCTGACTCCACCCTTTCTGTACAGTCGCTCAGATATGGGACAGTCACAACATATGGTAGAAAAAGCACTGCATTAAAACCACTTCAGCGACCTATTTGTCTTTTTTAAAAATTTTTTTGATAATTGAATGCATAACTTCTATTAGTTCGCTTCTTTTTATGTTTGAGTTATAGATATTAATTGAAAACACATAACATTTCTTTCAAAAGGATGTTAGATCACTAACAAATTCTGCATATAAATTAAGCATGACGTTCTTCTAGACTCTTAAAAAATCTATCAGATTACTTATTTTCAATTCTGTTGTCAGTGGGTGTTCACATTCGTTGCTTTATTATAGATGTCCTAGTTAGCATATTGAACCTTCTGCAGCAAAAATAGTGTGACTTGATAATATGAGGTTATAGGCAATGATGATAAGAACTTGACTTTTTCCCTCATAACAAGTAAATCATTTTTGTTACTCTAATTTTTGTTTTATTTGTGTTTGTGAGTGTGTGTGTGTGCGTGTGTGTGTGTGTGCACACAAGTGCACACATGTGCAGGCACAGGTGTACCCCAGAAAGCTTTTGGGGTGAAAGAACACATCAATCACATTCATCAGATTGATAGCTGCTAGGGGCTGGGGAAGCAGGAGCAGACTTCCAAGGAACTGAGGGAAGTTGAAGGTGATAGAGTTATTTCTTCTCTCAGTCATTGTCAGGGCTCAGACAGCCACAATTTGGTATTTTTTTTTCTTAAAGATTTGTTAGTTGCTATTGGCTTTGCTGTCCCCACAGGTATTGATGCTGATCATGTGCAGCTGATCTTTCTGTTTTATTTGTTTGGAATTTTTGTACAAGAAAAGAGTAGGTTCTCAGTGTTGATTGCTCTGAGCTCTTGTATGTGGGAGACTTGTGGGCGAGGCTTGCAAAGCAAAGGCCTAAGCTCCAGGCTCTGAGAACCAGTGGCTTACTGCTTCAAGCATTTGAGGTCAGTGATCTCCAGCTCCAGGTACTGGGTCAGAGCTTATGGCTTTGGACTTTGAGTTCCATTGACGAAGCACCCAGAAGCTACTGTATAGCTTGCAGGCTTCAGGTTTGAAACCCTCAATTCTTAAACCTTGGTGGTCCTCAGAAACTCCCCCTCCCCGCCAGAGACCACAGCTTGCAGTTTTTGTCTTCAGTTCCTATGACTGGTCATCTTCACACTCTGGGTTTTCTAACAAGTTTGTTTCTTGCTGCTCTCTGGACCTGCTATTCAGGCATCTTGTTGTTAATGGGTGGGTCTTTGGCTAAAAGATACACAAACTCCTCAGTAGGTCATCTTTCTTACTTCCTAAAATGATTCTCATTTTTATTTTAGTTGTGTGCATGAGAGAGAGAGAGAGAGAGAGAGAGAGAGAGAGAGAGAGAGAGTTGTAAAGGGACGGTGGAAGGAGTAGTTGGATGCCTTGAATCTAGAGTTACAGGCATTTGTACGGAAATCGGCACATTTTCCATGACAACACAGTAAGTATTCTTTTTTCCTAACTTATTTTACAAAAAAACTATCTTTTCTCACTTCACATGCCAAATCCATGTCCCCCACTCTCTCCCCCGTCCTGGTCCCTCCACCTTCCCTCCCACAACCCCCTAATCCCACACATCCACTCCTTGGAGTGGGTAAGGCTTCCCATGGGGAGTCAACAAAGTCTAGCACATCAGCAAGTACTCTTTACTGCTGAGCCATCTCTCCAGTCTTGTTCCCTTGCTCTTCATGCAACCAGCTCAGCCAACTCTCCTCATAGGAAAGATCAAAGTTGGCAAGGAAAAACTGTTTCGGAGAAGCTTTTGTTGGCACCTAATATTGCAACGTCAGGGCTAGTATAAAAGAAGGAAGACCAGAAAGGCTAAAAAGATCAAAAAGACTCTTAGGATTCTTGTACAGGGAGAATAAAAAGGACAGGGCACATATGTGTTCAGTTCCCATTTCTACTGCTATAGCTGTACATGACTGCGGTGTCTTGATTGCCCAATCATGAACTTTGGTTAAGCTACCAGAAAAGTGCTCCTCCGGGTTTAAGTGGGGACCAATTGCTACAGAAAGGGTAAGGCCATCAAGAGGCGACCTATATGTCTTAACAGATCAAACTGGAGACTAAAAACAGAATCCTCAATTCAAACATCTACTTTTGCTCACTACAGGATGTATTTAACTCGTGTGGGAAGTTGGACAGAGCCAGCAATAACGAATCTGAAATTATGAAATACTACCTTGATTCAAATTGGTTATGAAATATCCCAAAGCAGTCCCTCCTAGGAAACAACACTCTGGGGGAGGGACCCCAGGGGCCTGTGTACTCCTGGCAAGGATTTTACTGCTGAGCTACATCTCAATCCCTGAAGAATTTTCCAATACTATTCTCACCAACTGAGTTCAGTTCTTACCACAAGATTACCAATGGCAAATTCTGGCGCCAGTAGCTGTTCTTACCATTTTCAGTTTTCTTTCAAAATGTGGAGGAGAGCAGAGGCTGAGATAAACCAGGATCAGCCTGAGAGGGACCCAGTGGCGTCGGCTGTGAGAAACAGAGACATCAAACATGACACTTCAAAGGCAGCAAAAATATATTGTAGCTTAAAGACACGCGGGGAACATTGTTTAATAAATGTGATGTTGAGAAAACTTAGTTATTTCACTGAAGTTAGAAACAAGAAGGACAGACTCCAAGGAGACTGCTTCCAATCTTACTGAAAGTCTGTCTTCGAGGAATTGACATTTTGAACTACAATATTATTTTCCTTAATTCTAAAACGTTTTTTTTTTTTTTTGCTTATGTCTTGGATTCTTTCCCTCCCCTTCCCCACTCCCTTGCAACAGCACATCCATTTACTTACTTAAATTATCCAAATGTGTCGCAATGCTTAAAATACCTTCCTTGGTGGCATGGAGTGGCTCCGTATGTGGAGTTTTCTAAGATAGAGAGAAGGTAACAGCAGGCACAGACTCACAGAGGCTCTGAGCTGCAGGTCCTGGGATTTCCAAGTACAAAGTTGAGGCTCGGTAGTAGGAGGGGGCAGGAAGGAGCATGACTATTTAAGCCACCCCACACATGAGGTTTGCAGAAACACTAGGTTCCTCTTATTTCTATCACCAGACTTGAGGTAACATCTCTAAACCCAAATAACCTTTTATACAAATCTTTCTCTTCTTTTATAGCAGGCATTTTTACCTTTGTCACTATTGATTGATGTGTGTGTGTGTGTGTGTGTGTGTGTGTGTGTGTGTGTGTGAATGTGGTATGTGTGAAGGTACAGGTGCATGAAGGCACTTGAGGCCAGGGGAGGACTTCAAATGTCCCACTCTTATCACTCTCTCCCTTATCCTTTTGAGACAGTCTCTTGCCGTAACTGAAGCTAGGCTGGGGTCAGCCAAGCCTAGAAATCCCCCTGTCCTCACCCCAAAATGCTGAGATTAGAGAGGTTATGTCACAATCGTCATATTACTAGGGTTCTGGGAATTCAAACTCAGGACCTTAAGCTTGCGTCGCAAATTCTCTTATCCACTGAGCCATCTCCCCAGCTCACGATTGACATTTTTGAATGAATCATTCGTTGTTTTATTGTGGGATATTTGGTGGCATTTTGCATCATCTCACTAGATGCTGATAGCACTGTCTCTTTCCACTAGTGATGAGACTGTCGAGCATGCCTTAACAGGCTGTGTGTTTTAGGTTGAGAAACGTTGCCTTATAAACATATTCAAAACAAGCCTAAATTTACCTTGCTTTGTCTTTGGCCCCTTTTGAAGGGATACTGGTTTTTGAATGGCAGAAAGGCTACCAGTTGGGTCACTCACTTTAGTTTCCAAAGGTCAGCCATACTTGCAGTCAGGAGTCGTACAAAGAAAGACTTGCTTCTCAAAGTGTGGTCCTTTACTGTTTATGGAAACCTTTTGTGGACACACTTCAATTACTGTAGCTGTGTTTAAAGTTATTTAATGCAAGTATTTCATCAAGGAAGAAGATGCAGAGAACAACATGTGGAAATCAGCTAATAATGACATGGGTTAATATGCTGGCCTGCATTGGTACCCGCATTAGTGGAGAAAATACTAACTACAACACGTAGGCCATATTTGTTGAGGGATCGTTACGTTAATGTTAAAACATGCAGTTGTAATTAGTTCACATTTGTGTCATTAAGTACTGAAAATAGTGATGCAAATGTCTTCAATTTTCTTTAGATTTGTTTATTTTATTTTGTGTGTATTATTGTTTGGCTCAAATGCATTGTCTGTATATCATGAGGAAGTCAGAAGAGGACACTGCATCCCTTGAAACCGGAGTTCTCCTCACAGGTGGTGGTGAGGAGCCAAATTGCATTGTTCATGCTACTGGGAGAAGAAGCTGAGATCTTGAGACTGAGGGTCTAATATAAAAACTGATTTCTGGTAAAGCTACAAGTTCCTTCTCTATTTGCTGTAGCATGGCAGTAGATTTAGAAATAAATTTACCACTGAAAAAAAACCCAGATGACACCCTCCGCTTCTGCTTTTCATGAACATTGATGGAAGTTAAAAGAATGTGAAGGGATTAAAAATAATTTTTATAGGTGACTGCGACCCTAGAAAAGGCATCAGAGGAAAGCAGTATTTGATTGCTCCCAATCATTCTGAATTACTGAGAAGCAAAGTAGGCACTGCAAGGGGAGAATCACCTAGTCCATGTTCATTTTGATGACTGGACTTGACAATATGCCCGGAGAATCTTCCTATGATCCACTTTCCAATTTGTGGTTACGTAAAACTAATAAATTAACTTCAAAATCCCAGGCAACCAATAATGCATGCAAACCAGTAGACCAGTTAACTAAAACAAGCAGTAGCAAGCCCCTCAAACTGGAGTTATGAACACTTGTGAGCTGCCCTGTAGGTGCTGCTAATCAAAACCCACGTATGCCAGGATTCAAACTATGATCTTTCCCAATTGCTTCTAACCACTGAAGCAAATGTCTCACTGTCTCTTTCTTACAATAGTGGAGTTGGTATAAGAAGAGCATTGGACGATTCAGATTGCATAGTAAGTGATAGCCATGCCTTATTCAAGCACTCTGCTGAGAAAATAATATATGAAAATTAACAACTATCTCACACTGAAACAATAACTGATCTGAACTGGTGGTGGAAGGGGAGAAGCCATTGGAACAGTAGAAAAAGGAACTGGCAGGAAATGCAAGAGATTCGGGTGGTATAACAACGTGCTTACCACAATATATACTTACGGCAATGTCTACCTACCCTCACCCCCAGCAGTCTTCCAACCTTTCTAGCTGGCCTTGTGGGGTGGGGCCTGAGCTGGACAAACAACATCACCTTGCTAGCTGCTGCCTTCTGATTGGGTATGGGCAAAGAGAGGCCCTAGGTTTGCCGGGGAGGGTAGTCGAGTCTCTCTCCCAGTGACTTCCGCCCTGTTTGTCTGGCATTGGTTGTAACTCTTACCTATTGATTGTCTTGTCCATCCAGCAGTGTTGTCCCTGCTCCATTTTAATAATCGTTCCTTTCCCTTGGCACTTTGGGCACAAACTGGGGCACAAACTGGGAGTGCTCTTCCCTGAAGTGCTGTGTCATCCCTTTGATTTCCTTAAATCCAGTTCAAATATACACTCACTATGCTGAACTCAACAGTTTCTAAGATGAACGTCCTATCTGTTTCCTGGCAGGGCTGTGGAAGCTGAAAACATTAATATGACACGAAATATATTGGTACTGGAAAGAGTGCCCACAGCATGATTTAAAAAAAGTAAGTGTGGTTTAAATTGATTTGTAGTTGCTGTGCAATCTCAGTCAAATGCGAACAGAATTTCATGATAAACTTGCCAGATTGACTTGTAAGGGGTGGGTACATTTGGGAAATCAGGTCTCTTTATTTATTCAATAATATGGGGCAGCATTATCTATGGATGTCATCTTTTTCAAATAATGAAAGGCCCATTACAGAGTGTTAGGCATTGAGTCAGGTAGGGTAAAACCACATTTGTGAACAGTCAGGTAATTGTAAATGAAAAAGTGTCAAGGCAAAGCCCTCTCCCCTAGATCTATGAATGCATTTCCATAAGGCTGCAATCCTGGCGCAGCATGACACCAAACTTAGAAAGGAAGCAGAAAAGTCAGAATTAGGAAAAAACACTCATAAGGATATGAATGTCACTTCAATGGCAGAAGAGATCATTCAGATAATCTTGGGTAACTGGCTTGGAGTTTAGAAAACAGTAAAGATATTTGTCCCTTTCAAATTCCTTTCTTAGAATCCAAAAGATAAACCCCAGCACACTGAGAGTGCTCAAAGAAGCCACAGGGAGGGCTGGAGAGCTGGCTCAGTGATTCAAAGCTCTGACTGTTCTTTCAGGGCTCCTAGGTTTGATTCCCAGCACTCACATGGCAGCTCACAACCATCTGTAACTCCAATCCCAGGGCACCCAGAGCGCTTTTCTCTGATCTACTTGGGCACCAGACATTCATGTGGTGCACATATGTGAATGTGGACAAAACATTCACACCACTAAACAATAAAATAAAAATGAAACCAGAGAGAAATTATAATTTTGAAGTGTGAAGGTCCTTCTAAGAATGACAGATAACTGTAACACCTGATTCTGTGTTACCCTCTCGGTACAGTTCGCGCGCCTCTGTACCGATCATGAGTCTAGGCAAAGGCCTGGAGATTGAAAGAAACACACAAGAGACCTGGGTCATTCGAAAGGAGATCAGCCTAATGCCGCTTTATTTAATTTAGGGGAAAACCTATATACCTGGTTGCTGAATAAGGATATCCTCCCAGGCAGGTGGGATTTGGCTGCTGCATAAGGATTTTCTCCCAGGCAGGTGAGAAATTACCATACCAAAGATGAAACAATGCCCTTCAGCTAATCACCAGGCTAGGGCAGAGGGAGCACAGGAGCAAACAGGATGCTTAGCTGGCTGGCCAGAAACTGTCCTCAAATATGCACTCCAAGGAGCAAGGGTAGACCTGGCCCTACAGATAACAAACAAAAAAGCCTCATCAGCAATAATCCAGTGTCTTCATGAAAACATGGAACAACCAGGCATTGGTCGCACATTCCTGTAATCTTGGAACTTGGGAGGCGGGGGCAGGAAGATCAAGGCCAACTTTGGCTACATATCAAAAGCCTGTCTTAAAAGGAAAGGAATGATGGGATGGAAGGAAGGAGGGAGGGAGAGAGAGAGGGAAACAAGGAAGGAAGGAAGGAAAATCGATTCCATAAACGACTAAAAATTAAAGCTAACTCCTTATCCACGAAGGTAAGAATAATGCTCTACAATCAGAAATGATGTGTTTAGGACTTCCATGCCAAGATCATGAAAGATTATGCTATTACATACTGCATTCTCATATTGTTATCTAGCCTTTATTCACATCTCTTAGTTAACCAATAGCGCTGCAGAACCCCAAACCTTGTACATAATGGGCACTTAAGAATTTGCTCTTTATTGATGATGGAAGTGACCATGAAGATCAAAACAATTCAATTAGGTGAATTTTGAGAGGAAGTTCATTAGGCAGATTCATTAATTGAAGTGACCAGTATAATCCTATTGGGGTCACTATCTGATTGAGTTAACTAGCTGAACCAAGTGCAGCCTTATAACTCATTTATAATTAGTAAGGCCTCTGTTTTCTTCTTTTCTTCTGCTGCAAGTGTATAAGGTACTTTGATCATATGCACCCCGTTACCATCCCCTTTCTCTTCCCCCCTGTTAGTCCGTTTGTTTTTAGAGAGTTTCACTTCTACGTTTCAGTCATTTGTCCACATGCAACTTTGTGTGTCCATAAAGTCTAGGAGCCCCCCAAAGAAGAGAAAAGCAAGCAATGTTTGTCTTTCCGAGACTGATATAATTCTCATAATATGGTGATCTCCAGTTGCATCCAGTTTCTTGCAAATGACATAACTCCATTCTTCTTTATGATTGACAAAATTCCACTGTACATATATACCACACTTCCTTTATCCACTCACTATTCCGTGGATGGACATGTTGCTGGATTCTGCAACTTGGCCATTATGAACTCTACGGTAAATGCTAATGTTTAAGTGTCTCTACAATATGTTGACTTGAAGTCTTTTGGATAAATATCCGGGAGTGGTATAGCTGGGCCACATGATAGCTCTAGCTTGTGTTTTTCTTTGAGAAATCTCCATAATAACTACCACAGTGATTGCATTACTTTCCATTCCCGTCAGCAGTGTATGATGGTTCCCTTTTGCCCTTAATTGTTTTCTTGATAATTGCCATTCTGGCAGGTGTGAGATGGGAACCTATGGTGGTTTGTATTTGGCTTTCATGCCGGCCAGCAAAGTTGAGCACTTTTACATATTCCGATTGGCCATTTGTATCTCAGCTTTTGTGAACTACATGTATGCTCAATTAATTAACTCATTTATTGCCTGGGCTTATTGAGTTCTTATTCTTTGTGTACTCTGGATATTAATCCTCAGTCAGATGTTTAGCTAACAAAGATTTGATTTCTTTCTGTTCTGTGGACTGGTTCACTAGTCCATTGTTTCCTGTGCGGTACAGCTTTTTAATTCCACACGCTCCTGTTTATCAGTTGTTGACTCTATTTCTTGACCAACTGGAATTCTACACAGAAATGTCATTTTAAATAATTATTTTTTATTGTATGTATATTCTTGTCTTGTCTACTTATATGTCTGTACTGTACACACATACTTAGTAGTCACAAAGCCCAGAAGATCATGTTAGATCCCCTGAACTGGAGTTACAGATGGTTGTAAGCTGCCATGTAAGTACTGGGAATCCAACCTGGGTCCTCTGAAAGCCCAGCCAGTGCTTTGAACCTCTCTGCCATCTCTCTAGACCGGAAAATTCTTGACTATAAAGATGTTTTAAAACATTTTCCCTCCTTTTTTTTTTCCATGCCAATTTTAATTTCAACTCTTATGTTAAGGTCTTTGACCCATTTGAAGTTGAGTTTTGAACAATGTGAGGAGACAGAGATTTAGTTGAATTCTGCTACAAGTGGATATCTAGCTTCCCAACACCATCTGGAGGAAAGGGATTTTTTAAACCTCACATATATGGTATGTTTGTCTAAAATCAGGTGGTCGTAGCTGTGTGGCTTTATTTCAGAGTCCCTCATTCTATTTTATAGGTCTGTGTCTGTTTTAATAAAGCATTGCCATGAAAACTCTTATAATAAATAAATTAGTTAAATATTTAGACAAATGAATAATAAAAAAGAAAAGAGAGACAGAAATAGAGACAGATAGAACGGTAGATTGAATGGGACTTTTGGGCAAAAAAGACGGCAATGACCATTTTCATATTTCACAGCAGCTAGAGCAGGACATTGGCTGGTAACTTCAGTTTCCCTTTGCCATATTGTCCGGATATAAGGCCATATTGCCCGGATATAAGGCACTGAAACTGAAGCTTGCTATTTCAGTTTATCTGGCTGACCAGGGAGCTCTTGGAATCTCCCTGTCTCTGTCCCATAACTCTGTAGTTATAAGCATGCACAGTCATGCCGGGATTTTTACATCGATGTTCGTGATGCAAACTCATGCCCTTGTGTTTTCAGAGCAAGCACCCCTACCCGCTCAGCCATCCCCAGCTCCCAGATGTATTCATATCCCCATTTTCCCAATAAAATATTTTATTCACATAGACTTCATTCCTTCCTTGGCTTTTTAGTTGAATATTTTTTCATACTTCAATCTGGAGAGCTTCTATACTGTAAATTCTATTGCCTTTCCTCACAGCCACAAAATATTCCTTGGCACGAACAGTCCACAATATTAATTCATGTTTTCTCTAATATGGCCATATGGGTAGTGTTCTAGTGGAGCTTGGCTTCAACTTGACACAGCCTAGAGTTATCCAAGAAAGGAGTTTCAGTTGAGTTTTTTAGATAAGGTTGCTTTGTGGGCATGTCTGTGGAACATTGCCTTCATTAATGGATGTTTGAGGGACCAGAGCACTGTACGAAGCACCTTTCCCTGAGCATGTGGTCCTGGGCTATGTAAGAAAGTCAGCGGTGAGCCTGAGAAAGCATTCTTCCATAGTTTCTGCTTCAAATACCTCCTCAAGTTTCTGTCCTGTCATCCTTCAGTGAGGGATTGTGGCCGGGAAGTTTAAGCCAAATTAAACCCTTCCCCCCCCCCCCCCCAACTTGCTATTGCTCACAACATTTATCACAGCACCAGAAAAGGAACTAGAGGAGACAGTTTCTTATCCCTGGTATTACAAATGATAGTACAACTATCGCATGACTTTTCCCGGGGAGCCACACACCAAAGTCTAGCCACTCCAGCCAGGGCACTGATGACAAACTAAAGCATCCACGGAACCCAAGTTTTCCCTGTTGAATGAGTATGTGTAATGGAATACTTCCAGGAACATGGGTTAAAAGTTTCTTACTACAGTGGAAACTGGCACCTGTAATTTTACTAATACTTCGCATCAGTGTTATTAAAACACACACACACAAAAAGATCAAGTGCACTTGGTTTGTGTAATCACGTGTTCAACCCTCGGGGTGATGTGCTCTGTAGGCCAGCTGTCATTCATCCTGAAGGTGACAGTTACTGCAGGCAGTTTCCTGTGTGGTCTGAGTAGTGACTGCGGCTAGAGCCTCCTGGAGGGAGTTTCTGCTGGCGACTGGGGCCAAAAAGCATTGTTGAAATGTTGTTCTTGATGCCTTCCAATAACTGGTGGTTGATCATTTTTCACAGTACAAACAACTCCAGCCCTGTGTTT